GGTGAGTCAAATTCTTCAAAATTCTGTTTGTCACATATGAAGAGGTGTAAAAATCCTCTTATTTAGACCGGATGGGCTATTCTGTCGAATCCCCATTCAGCAATTTACGGCCCACTATTTCGATCTTTAGCAATGGAAGCATCTTTACGTTTTTGGGGAAGGGCTAGATACCAAGAAGCTTGCATATCAAAGATTATATATCAAATGTGGTAATTTGGAACAGAAATCTTGAAAAACGGTCGTCCCTGATTGTGTGGCCATTCAAAACTGAAAGTTTTGTTGTTATCCATGCTTCAAAAAGTTCAAGCGAGTCAATTCACAAGCATTGGACCGATGAAAAGAACCTTTCAGTAAACCTTGAGCTCAGCTCCCGAAAAAAGCGAATCGACCTTTGTAGGTTGTGTTGTAGATCCTTTGCATTCCTACGACCTTGGTCCCCCAGGGTATGATCAACCTAAGCTCCACCGATGCAGCACTAGATGTGCTTTGTAAAGTTTGACAGTGAACCGTGACTTAACCCGCGGCTTGGGCACAACTGTCCTTTCATTTAATCACCGTATCCGTAAATTGATGTGACTTGTGATCCCAGAAACTGAGCCATGGGGATTCTTTGTGTGATGCAAGGCAAACATAAGATAGGTAATTCAACAATCAGAATTAGAAGCCATTACTGTAGTGGTGCAGTGCTCGTGGACAGGTGGTACACGCGCGTCAAATGCCTCTTCGACCAATAAGGTGTCGTGATTTGCCAAATGCACGCGCGCGTCAAGCTGAGGAATGTGCAACTACACACTTGTGTGAGTTCAATGCCACCACAGTGCTACCGCAGTTATGGCGTCTTATCGGATCAGTCTATAGGCTTATGAGGGATGTTTCTTTGCCTCATTATGACACCATTTTATCTTTTCTGCCAATGGGCGTATAGGGTTGGATTTTAAAATTCGCTGCGTCCAAGTGGGCGACAGATTAGTCAAAATTCAACTGTGGGACACCTCGGGACAGGAGCGGTTCCGGTCAATGACTCAGGCTTACTATCGGGGAGCCGCTGGGGTCATGCTGGTCTATGACATCACAGAGGAAACCACGCTAAAAGGACTGACTGGCTGGTTGGAGGATATCAAAAAGGTAAGTGGGTGCAGCTAGATTGGTTGTGGGTTGTTACTGGAGTCCTGTAAGACTAATTTGGTAGTTGCTGACGTCATGAGTATACCGAAAACGTGAGACTAATTAGTGTACTAATACTTACAGGAATGGATTTGAATAATAAAGATCAGGGTGTGATTTACAAGCACGCCGACCAGGGGTGATATATTTCATTGTTTTCAGTAGGATGAAAACAAGAAATTGTTGATTCATTGCTGTTCTTTTGCCACTGCAAATTGCTGATGTTTGTGACTGTTGATGCGGTCAATGCAGGTCAAGTTTTTGCTGTTTCTCCTGTTATTGCTATAATGATGAATTGGTCGTCATCTTCATTTTATCATAAAATTCTTGCTACCAAGTCATTTTTGCGTCCCTGACAGTACGCCCCGGAAGACGTAGACATCATCATTTTGGGGAACAAGTGTGACGTGGTTGAGCAACGAGTTGTCTCACGAGAAGAAGGCGAAGAGGTAACGGTTGGAGTTGATCCAAGTCAGATAGCTGACCCATTTACCCCAATTAACAGGCACAGAGGTAATGGTTGGAGACTTGATCCAAATCAAATAGCTGACCCATTTACCCCAATTAGCAGGTGAAAATGGTAATGGGTAGAGTTGATTCAAGCCAGACAGCTGACCCATTTACCCCCATGAGCAAAGATGGTGCTGACCCCGATTCCAGTCGGGTGGTTAACTTACCTCATTTTGTTCGTTCTGTTTGACCTGTGTACTGAGGTTGGCTTCACTTGCAACAGTTGCTCGTTTGAGGCACCCGTTTTTAATGTTAACATTCAGCGAGAGTTTTTGAAAAACCTGTTCCAAATTTGATATGATAACGATCCTTCCCAGGCTACCTTTATAGAGCTTTTTGATTTTATTCGTTTTTGTTTCGCTTTTTGGATCGGCAGTTTGCGAGGAATCGGGGCCTGAAATTTTTCGAGACAAGTGCAAATGAAAACACGAATATAACAGAGGCCTTCGAAGCAATGGCAGTTCTTCTTGCTAGCAAAGTTACAGAGGTAAGGAGCTTAGTTCTAAACCTGTTATTAAAAATTCTTGGGGGTCAAACTTGAGCGCTCTCGGTCAACAATTCGACAGTAGTTACATGTACATGAACTTGTATTTTAAAAAAGCGTAACAACAGGCGTTTCATTTCACTGTAGATCACGGTCAAGGAATTAAGGATAATTGGATCAGTCAGGCCTAATGAGGGCGCAACACATGACCAGAAAGTGTCCAGATGGTCTGGCTGCGACCGGGAATAATACCCGCGCGTTTTTGAAAGTTTTTGCTGATGCAAACTAGTACTTTGCCTGCTATTTATGTGTCCTAAACAGAAAAATTTCTTCATGTATTGGCAACACTGTAGGTATATAAAGTAAGGACCACAGTCAAATTGTGAGAATAGGAGTCCTCTATTTTAAATCTCCACGAGGAAGAGATTGCCAAGTCTTCTCTCATTCCTCACCCAAAATCACTCCAATGAGAATACTGTCACTGTTTTGTTAATTTACAGACCAGGAAACGAGTCAACAGTGTCGCCATTACGTCACCTGCACAGGCCAATGGTAACGCCTCCAGACCCCATGGTCCAGGTCCTATGAGGCCCAAATGTGCTTGCTAGCAGATGAGGAAGGGTTGTAAGACAAATTCCGTTACCTTCCTGTGGAACTTTGAGCCACAAGCTGGACTGAGAGAGAACGAAATTTTCTTAGCAAAGGAGACTCGGTTAATCGGAACTTAACTCCACTGGTTCTCGAGCAACTACTAAATGCAGGCATTACCATCACATCGCTACCAACAAAATGACCACTCCCGACCAATATGGGTCTTTTCAACCGATGAGGGGGTGCTTCTGCTCGAAGTGGATACTGATATTGACGAGGACAGAAACAGTGACAAGACTTTAAACTTATTTACTGCACCCGTACTGGCATCAGGGCTATGTAAATTTAGGATCAAGGCTGGAGTAGGTGGCTACGCCCCTTGCTAGGCTAGTACAGAGACGTAGACGCGTAATTCGTCCATGTTTCACCCCATAGAAACCCCATGCCACAACTCTGCAAAAGCTAGTATTCGCTCTTGGCACGCTGCCACCATAGGCATGCAGAGCCTCGATCTGGCGCTTTACACAATAAAACAGCCGGTTCAGTTATTCCTGTGTATGTTGCTTATGTAATTTTGCGCGTGCTGCGTTAGTTCTTACACCATGCAATTGGACAAAGCGATTCTCACGCGATTGTACAAGCTGCCTATTCGAGACTTTGTATGCCAATGGCGGCAGCGTGCAAAGAGCGAATACTGCTGAGAACATTGTTCTTTAAAAAGTAATCAATATTCTCAGGAGAATGGACGTGACTAATGCCCAGGCGAGGTCACTACTATCCGTTCTCCTGAGTAAAGCCTTATTCATTCCCATGCATAAATACCTTTTTATTCAGAGGGTCAAAAGAGGTACACATATGGATTTCAAACGATTTTGTTCTAAACTTTTACTTTCATTATCCTGTACACCCCCGTACATTTCTTGGTACATTAATTTTAAAGTTGTCCAATAGATCCCCCTTCTAATCAATTAACTTGGCTGGTGTGGCGCTTGGCGTGCACACGGACTCCTGCCTGACCAATCAGAAGCGATTAAACTGTCTCGTGTCAATGTGATTGCGCGTGATTTATGCTAGCGTTATCACTTCTCAGCGGGCATTATCAAATGTTAATACGCGGTCACGTGACGCGTTTTGACCAATAGGAATAGAAAAACTGTCCCAGGTATTAATGAATGGCGTCTAGTACTCGTTGTCATTCACAGTTTTGGATTTCAGCGTGGGTTAAATGCATCCAGTTATGACTGTGATCCAGTCGATTTTTACTGCGTATGCGTACACATGAAGTGACTACAGTTTCAGTACATGTACTTGACGTGTAACAGTAATGCAAATTAAGTTGGTGACAATTCAATGTGGAATACACTGAACATTTTTGGAGAGATGTTGGTCTAAAAAGTATTTTTGTCGTATAGTAGTGTTAAAAGTTCAGCTTAGAAAGCTAAATATGCTATTGATTCTTATACTACATTTATTATGGTGCATATCTATAGTGGTATTCACAACGAGGCCAAGATGGCGGCTGAACTGACCATGCTAAACTTGATCACTCATGTCAATATTACATACAATAATAAGTTTTGTACAGCACAGCAAATGTATTTTAGCTGTTTTCCACCGAAAGACAAAAGTACAGAATTAATGTTAAAGAAATGTGGCGAGGGTCATTCTTCAAATACTGCAATAATACGCGTAGTCGATTTTTTCATTTTAAAGTAACGTGCTGGTTGACTTTTTTATAGTGAGAATTGTATCTGGTAGTGAAGAGAGTGCGCTGCTGAAAAAGTTCAAAGTTGTCTTTTTTACGTGATTATTGTTTTCATGTTGTAAGCTGAAGTTGTATTTACATAATACAATGCATTCGTTTTTATATTTTGTATAAATAAGACATTTGGAATATGGGAAACGATTCTCTAAGGCTGAAAGCCAAGCTGAACATTGCAATGCTATTTTAATTAATAAACCAAAATAAACACTTTTCCTCTCTTCTGCAGTTCTTGATAAACTCTAAGCTTCACACGTTACTCATGAATAGTTTTATTTTCCACACTGACCGCGATAGGAAACCAAACAAACTCCTTCAACATAGCAATGTGGATTTTGACAATTTTGTTCAATTCTCAGGGTTTTTTTCGCCCGGAGTTTTTTTTTTCGGACAGAAGGTTTACTCCCTGTCTGTGTAGTCATCCAGTGTGAAATTCGGAATCATTCGTTCGTGGAAGACTTTCAGCATGTAACGTGGGCAGGCGCAGTATTTCTTTTGGAAGAATAACAAATTTTCTGCCTATTTTTTTCTTTGAATATATTTTAAATCCGGCAAATTCTTAGTGCTTTTGAATGTTTGTGTGCGTTTTATCGCTAGCGCTGTTAATATGCAGTTGTAATGCCAATGAAGCTTTTTGTGGTGTACTCACAGCCGACCTGTGTCACGTGTTTATTGATGACCAATTCAATCTATTCTTCCCACGAGGCTCCATTCGATACTCATAATCGATTCGTCTTTAGAGGCATTCCAACTCGGCTTGAAGGCCCATCATGTTTATTGATCCTTTAGCTTCGTTCAGGGAGGTCTGCTAATGTAAGGTAGCCCAAGACATAAACAAGTCTGCATCTCTCGTCAGGCTGTGCGTGCCCCAACGTGCAGATAAAGCTGATACGACGACTTCACTCCAAGTTTGATGTTGAAATTGTCTTGGATTTGCATTCCTTTATCCGAGAAGATTCTGATCCGGTTAATAGTTTATATCAAGTGGATTCAGCGTGTGACGATTGCTTTGATTCGACTAGTGTGGTTATAATGAACCTGAAAACTTCAGTAGCTGGTGTTCGACTGTTCTCTGCTCAGTGAGGAACCAGACCTACGACACGACAGTTTGGAGTAGTTTGTGATTCGGTGAGTCCGCTATGAGCTTTGGACCGTGATACATTGAACAAAAGAAGCCTGCATGATTTATGTGTTTTACTTGTATAACATGTCTCTGGTCAAAAGATTTGACTCGACATCATCAAATGTGCATGTCTGGAGCGGTTAAAATATTCATAATTATTTGCACAGGTTACTGTCATGCTTTCTGTTGGGACCATTCAAGTCCTTTTTAATAGATCTGAGCTCTGCCCTTCTCTTGTCAATTCCAGGATTCTATTATATTTGCCAAGTTCTTTTCTTGATATTCATTGTGTTCTGGTCCCCGAATAAGCACTTGTTAACAAGAACGGTACATCTGGGAGTGGATGCGGGGCAAGTGGGCGAGGACACAGCTTTGGTGACTGAAACACTTTTTTGGAGTCAAATCCAAGCGATTGTTATATCTGTCATGCAGATTTGAGTGAGAGCAGACCCTCTCCCCCCATGCTGATGTCGGCTGGACCTCAAAACACCGGGAGAATAGGATTAGGAGTCCCAGCTAAGTCTTCGGGCACTGCCGGGAAGACTCAGATAGAGATCTTTCTCCCCAGCTCGTATTCGCCTCACCCGGAGGTACAAGACAGTGATTGTGTGCCAAATAACGCCGGTACGGAGACGACTGACAGCGAGGGACAGGATCAAATCTCCCTCAGCCGTAAGTGGGAATCTCCGACCATGGCGCACCCGCTGTATCAACCCATGAATCGAACCGACGCCGATCCGCCCAAACTGAAGCCACGGTTCGCCAAGTTCTCAAGGCCCGGTACCGGTACTTTGGTACCGCCCACAAATTGTTCCTCAGAAGAGGGTGTGAAGTCAGCGGGGTTGCTGGGGGAAATAAACGGTCTACCGGGGCCCGGCATCAGTAAGAACGCCAAGTTCCTCGCCAGCTACTCGCACAACTACGGACATAGCGAAGGTGGGAAAACCTGGTGGTCGGCAAAGTGACGAACTCCCAAAATGGATGATTGGGGCAAAGCAGAACAGTGCAAACATTCTGCCACTTACATTTAAACGCCATCAAAATTTCCAATCTGATCCAACAGAACACGCCTTTCATTGAATTTTGGTTATTATGATTGCAGCCCAATATATGAATTGGTCCGGCTTTCCTGATTGCTCGCGTTATGGTCAACTAAAATTTCTCAAT